AAGTGATATATGTGTCTGAGGCCGAATTTGAACTCAGGTCCTCCAGACTCCAGGGCCGGTGCTCTATCCACTGTGCCACCTAGCTGCCCCAATGGATTCTTAAAAGTCTTCTCTAGCACAATTTATTCTGCAGCACTAAGCTTTCTGTATAGTCCAATTCTCACAGTCATATATTGCTACTGAGAAAACAATAGCCTTGAGAATATAGACCTTTGTTGACAAGGTGATGTATCTGCTCTTTAGTATGCTATCCAGTTTGCCATAGTTTTCCTTCCAAGGGGCAAGTATCTTTTAATTTCATTGCTGCAATTGCTGTCTGCAGTGATCTTTAAGCCCAAGAATATACAATCTGATACTGCTTCCATTTCTTCAGCCTCTCTTTGCCAGGAAGTGATGTGACCAGTTGCCAAGATCTTAGTTTTCGGTTTTGTTTTTTTTTTATGTCAAGCTTCAAGTCAACTTTCACACTCTTCTTTCACCCTCATCAAAAGGCTTCTTAATTCTTCACTTTGTGGTTGTTTAATAAATCCTTGTGTAACCTATGGCTCAAATCCATTTGCATGGAATTCTCCTTATTGGTGGAGATTGATTACACAATGTTTTGTTTATTTGAGGGACAGAGATGGCAAGAACTTGCGGGAAGAGAGACTGATCTTTTGGCTTCTGGGTTTTGATAAAGAGTACATGCAGTTCCAGAATCTCTGCATGTCCATATCCTCAGTTCATTACACAATAGATTTTAGGAAATATTCCAGAGCGAAATCTAGAACTCTTTTAGTTGAATCAAGATAGCTACTCCCAATAGAAGAACTCATTCACTCCAAGCTTTATATTATCTGGTATATACTCATCTGTATGCTTTCTCTGATTTCTGTTTGCACTCGACTGGAATAAATGGGTTTATTTGCTATCTGTTGTCTTTTATGGAACTGGCATTTGGTGGGGAGTCAATCTTTGGATATATAGTTTGGAGCATTACTTCTCTAAGGATAGCAATCAGGAACTCAGCTTGAACTTAAAAATTATTTCCCCTAGACTAACAATATTTGGTGGGGGCAGAAAGATGTAATCCTAGTCTGTACCTATTCTCTAAGAAGAGCAGAGTGGGTCAGCCTTTGGTGCCAATCTCCTGCTTCTTTTCTTGGTGGGAACAACGTCTCCCTTCGAAAAGGGTGGAAATATCTACTCATGCTTTCCTGCAAGCCAAATCTAGATTGGCCTATGTGGATATAGCATAAATGGGCAACACACATATACCTCCTTACACTTGATTGATTGAAGGAACTTGGACTTTATCATTAGGCTAATAAGGAAAAATTAAAAGGATTTTATCCTCTTCATTCCCCCATGACTGCAACCTAGGTGCCATCCTGAACTCGTTACTCTTGCCCACTACACTCCCCCATTGTTAATGTTGCCGAATTTTGTATATTCTACATTCATAATATCTCCAGCATACTCTTTATTCTCTCCTGAAACACTGCTACCACCTATATTGTAATGCAGCCTTATTCACTGCAGCTTATAAATTAGTTTCGGTTCGGAATGGTTTAGAAATGACACAGTTTCAAGTTTGATTTATATATGTATATAGTAAAAGTATTTATTATTAAAATAGTAAAATAGGGTTGGGGTTTGTAAGTAAAATAGGGTTGGTAAGTCCCAATAGTTACAGCATAAGCCTCAATCAGTAATAACTAAAGTCTCAATTGGTATAAATCTCAATAATTACAACTTCAGTCACAATCAGTATCAAATCATACCACAATCAATCATCACCGTTGGGGGAATCATTTACATCTGGAGAGGTAGCCAGCTCTTCCAGGGAGCAAATACCATAAACAGTCCTTCAACATCTAGCTAGGAATAAGATTAACATGAAAAAAGAGTCAGGGTCAAATTGCAGGCATACTGAGTGAGGTCAGAATGCCTTTTTTAATTCATTCATCACACCACCCTGGTAGAGACCCTTATCATCTCCTACCAGTATTTTTGTAATAGCCTTCCAGTCGGTCTTTTGCCTCAGATCTCTCCCCACTCCAGTCCAGTTTCTTTTCAGCTGTCAAACCGATCTTCCTAAAGCACAGATCTGACCCTGTCATCTCTCATCTTCCTCCCACTCCAAACACTCCACCCCATTCAATAATTTCTAGTGACTTCCTATTACCTCCAGGATCAAATAAAAAACCCCCATTGGGCATATATAGCCCTTCATAACCTGCCCCTTCTTACCTTTACAGTCTTCTTATACCTTCTGGACTCCATATAATCTGTAATCCAGTGACACTGGCCTCCTTGTTATTCCTTGCAGGAGACAATCAAACTTCCTCACTTTGTGAATTTTTACTGGTTGTCCCCCATGCCTGCAATGCTCTGAATCCTCATCTCATCTCTTGACTTCCCTAGCTTCCTTCAAGTCCCAGCTAAAATTTCACCTTCTACAAGAATCCATCCCTTATTCCCCTTAAACGCTAGTGCCTTCCCTCTGTTGATTGTCTCAAACTAATCTGTATATATGTTGCTTACACATAGTTCTTTGTATGTTGGCTCCCCCCTTAGACTCTGAGTTCTTTGAGAGCGCAGACTGATTTTAACCTTTCTTGGCATCCTAGTGCTACAGTGGAAAGAGCACTGACTCCAAGAGTCAGAACACCTGGGTTCATAATCTGATCTCTATGCTTTTACGATCTTCGTCAAGTAGTTTAACCTCCATGTGCCTTAGTTTCCATATCTGTAAAATGAAGTCCTTTTTAGTCCTACATTTATGATCCAAAGGCAGAATACAACATAGGATGTTATTTAACTTTTGGTGGGCTATCTCTATTACCTAACAAAACAGTCCACTGGTGGTTGCTTCTAATTTTTTTTAATGTTCCCCAAATTTGCTTCTTCACAATTTCCATCTATTTGGGGGCGAGTGTGGAGTGGGGATGAGGGTACTCCTGGACCTCATTTCATTGAGGTGAGGAACTCCCAGCATAGAAAACGCCTTTATGTACTTCTGCAGTGACCCAGAATTCATCTACTATTTCTATCACAACAGCCTTTTAAAACTTTGAAGGCAGCAATGAAATCTCTTATCTTCCCCCTTTCCTCTTCTCCAAGCTGAAAAACTGTCATTTCCCTCGACTTTTCTTCATATGATATGGTTTCTAAATCCAGTATCTTAGATGCCCTACTCCAGACACCCTCTAGTTTGTCAATGGGCTTCCTAAAAGTAATTGAATTTCAGAGCTGGAATGGAACTTAAAGATATCCCCTTTTGGCAGTTGGGGAAGCTAATGGACCCCTTCTCCCACTACACCTAAAATAAAATACATCTGTTTACAAAGGAAACCAATTACATTGAAATTAAGTTATCAAAAACACACAAACCCTGGATTAAGAATCCCTGCACTAGACCAATTCCTTTTATAGATGAGGCAATGGAGCATAGCACCGGAAATTGAAGGCAATCCTGTAAGGGTGCTACCCCTTACTCTATTTCCCTTTCCCCAGGCCTTCTCCTCACTCTTTCTTTCTCTTTTTCCACCCTACCCCAACAGAGTGTAGGCTCCTACTATGACCATGACCTTGACCTTAACCTGTCCTTTTCTACTCTCTCCAGAGACTGAAAATGGGGAGGAAGAGGAAGAGCCCGGGCGGGAGGAGCAGGGGTGAGGTGAGGGTAGAGGTGGGGCAGCCAGGCAGCGGAGATTCCGGCGCCCGTGATAGCGCGCACCCGTACGAGGCGGCCTACGTGCCTGGAACGTGGACGTCAGTAGGGAGACCGATTGTTAAGGTAAGTCAAGTGCTCGCGCGACCAGGGGCGGTGCCAGAGAGGACGGGGGGCTGCCTCGCGAGGCGCGCGCTAGCGAGCTGGCTGGCCGGGCCGGCCGGGCGCAGGGCCCACGGAGCCAGCCGTAGACCGCTAGGGGACGGATTGACGCATGCTCCTCCCCCTGTCCAGGGAGCGCGAGCCTGGGCCGAGTGGGGTGGCGCGCGGCGGGAGCGCGCTGCTCCCGCAGGTTTAAAATCGTCATCCTGTGACTTTTGTACAGGGAAAGGCGGCTGCGGGACTTATACTGTCCTGTAAGGACAGGTCACACACCCTCCTCACCTCCACTCTCCCCAAGTTTATCTCCTGTCACTCTTAACCCCTGGAGCCCCAAGCCGAGCTCCACTCGTACCGAGCTCTAGAGCCCGACTCCTTGTCCTTCTCTGGTCGCAGCCGCTGCAGCACGCCGCCGCCGCCGCCGCTTCTCTTCCTCCTCCTCTTCCTTCTCCTCCTCCTCCTCCTCCTCCTCTTTGCGGCCACTTCCGCCTAAGCTGGACGACCTGCGCCTGCTGCCGCTGCTCTCCAGAAGCCCTTCATCGGCCCGCCACTGCCCTGCGCCGCACGCCTGCCCCACGGGAAGCATGTTGCCCAACACCGGGTAAGGGCCCGAGCGTGGGGCAGGGGAGGCGGCGGCTGGACCCTCTTCACATCCCCCCACCTCGACACGGACAGAACGCAGAGACGCACAAATGGACACAGCACACACGGCCACAACACTGAGATGCACGCGGGCACACAGAGACACAGTACACGTGGACACAACACAGAGAGACACAGCACAAAGACACGATACACACGGAGACACCGACAGCTCGACCCCAGACACACACCTGTCCAGAACACCTTCCAGGCCCCCCCCAATAAATAGAGATAAACACACAACACACGTAACACCTGGCCTGAACGCTCCAGACCATTGCGTCTCCCACACATACACCCCTCTGTCGCCTTCCCCTCTAATGCGTGGATGACTTTCTACAAAGCTCCTGCCCTATCTGCAGTGACAGGGGCCCTCCCTCCACAACGGGTTTGTCTTTTTACAAGCATTTTCCCCCAATCGGGAGTGATTTTTTTTGCAAACATCGTTTCCGTGTCCGTCTTTTTACAAGCCCACTATCCCCCAAATAGAAGTGACTTTTTACAAGCCCCTTCAAATGAGTGACTTTTACTATCCCTTGCTCCACCCCCAAACAGTGGGGACTTTTGCAATAATGGGGGGAGGGCAGTGACCCTAACAATTCTTTCCCCTCCTGGAATAACTTGTATCCCACGGGAATAACTTTTGCAATCCCTGACCTCCAAACGGAAGTGACTTTTACCGCAAAAATCCCCACTTTAATACATTTTTACATGTCTCTTCTCCAAAAGGGAATCCTGCGTACAACTTTTTCTTCGTCCCAAACTGTAAACTGAAGTCACTTTTAAAATTAACTTGAGGGGTACTCCCAACAAATCTTGAGCTAACTTCTTACAAAAGGGCTTGACAGGAATGAAGGGGGAGAAGGGCTTAAGTGTTGCTTGAAACTTTTACTCAAAATGATAAAAGTTTAAATTCGAATTCAAAGGACAAACTTTTTTAAAGAGACATTTCCAGGGACATCCTTCTGCATGTTTTTGGGGGCCCTCTTACGTTTGAGGGGCTTTCAAGACCGGAAGGTCTTGTCAGTATTCTTTGTGATCTTGGCTGTATAACCTCTTTGCCTCCCCTCCCCCTCCCCTTAGGAAAGCTTTGTGAGATCTTTATTTAGGTGAAAGTTAACTGTAACCAGACACACACCCCCCTCGTTTTGAGATCTTTATTTAGGTGAAAGTTTACTATAGTCACCCACATACCCACTGCTTTGTGAGGTCTTTATTTAGGTGAAAGGTTACTATAACCACACACACACACACATACTCTCTCTCTCTCTCTCTCTCTCTCTCTCTCTCTCTCTCTCTATCTCTCTATTATGATCTCTTTTTCGTCAGACCTTGTTTCTCCCACAGTTCCAGAGTGTCGCATTTGGAAAAGACCTCAGTGGACATCTAGTCCAACCTCCTATTTTCAATCATTCAATTCTTGAATAGTTAAAAAAAAATATTTTTTCTTAAGTGATTTTTTAAAAAATTACTACTAATTCCTCTTGGAACATGGGAAAAGTTTATTAGTTACATAGACTAATTAGTTTATTAGGTTTGTAGACTATAATAACCTGTAATACTTTTGTTTGCTGTTTAAACCTTTTATTTGGTTAGGACCTGTGATTTCGTTAGTGCAAGGCAATTCTTCATGCGGAAACTTCCACACCTTGTCTGCAATTTATAGTGGGTCCTGGAGCACTGAAAGTTTGAGACTTGCTGATGCTCACTAACTAGTATATTTCAGGAATAGTACTTGAACTCAGGTCTTCCTGATCTCAAACGTTAGCTCCCCATCCCCCAACTATCTGTCTCTCTTGATTAACATTATTAACTTTTAATTTATATATTTCATTTTTAGGATTACTAAAGAATGTTTTGAAGTATTTGAAGTTTTCATAGCTAAACAAGTGTTTATACTTTCCCT